GCCCTCCACGCGGCGCTCTTCCGATCTACACTACCCCTGGTTACTTTTTCTTCTTATTCCCACGGATTGAGTTTCCTATTAGTTTGAGATGGAACGTGCGTTTGGACATGGTGAGAACTAAGGGAAATTAAAGCCCATGGAAGAAAAAGAATTATGGAGTAAAGAGTGAAATTTGAACGGGGGATTAAGAAAACGAGGAACGATGGCGGGAGTTACGGATGAGTTGGTTATTATAAATGAGTTGAGTTAGATTATAAATGATGGGCGGAAGAGCTACTATGTATAAAGTCTTGGTGAACTTTTTATTTTTTTAATTACTTTTGTTATCTTTCAAGACTTAGTCAAATGAATAAGAAAGAATAATGAGATGAAGGTAATAAAGAATTTCTTCTCTTAATATATAAAAAATCTGTATAGTATCTGCTCCCATATATGACATTCGAGAGGAGGAAGTTTTGTTCCGGAATGAGGCGATTCTTTGTCTTTAATTCCCCCGTCGCGGAGTTACGTGAAAAAAATAAAGCGGAGTTGCCCAAATCTGACTGAACTGACCGTGAAGAAACCAACCTGATCTAGGTACTAGTAGCCTAGTAGGATAAAATAAAAGTGGTGGTAAAAAGTGCTCATCAGGGCACACGGAGGCCTTGTAAGGGTATTAGTAGCAGTGCCAATACTAGCACTACAGAGTACCAAATTACGCAAAAGGTCAGTTCATAGGTACCCTGTGATGGCCTCGTGATATCGGAGGGATCGACACTGGGTGCCTATCAGCTGGGACGAGGGGAGTGTAAATGAGTGGTATGTGATTTCTACTCTACTTGTGCTAGTCTATCTACTAGAGTACATCGTGATACATGTTATGTACAGAGTCTCATACTATCTGGGGCCTTCATGTATGTAGCCCTGGCTGAGTGACGATGGCCATGTCCCTTCTGTCCTTACCTACCTATTTGTACTCCCTTGCCGATAATTTGAAAACAAAATCCTCCAAGTAACATCCCTTCGCACTTTATATATATGTGCGCAAATACATATATGAGTTGGGTATATCTTTCCGTCTCTCTCTCACTGTTTAAAGCTTACCGCCATCTCTGCTCCCCAATAAGTTTGATCCATCAAAGTCGCCGTCTAGCTCCCAAACATATTCCCCGACGGTCCCCCTCCCCCGGGGCCGCCGTACCCCCCCATGTGTGGAGGCGGTCCGCCACCGCTACTGTTGCGCAAGCCCTCCATGCCGTTGCCAAAACCAGCGTGATAGGGGGTGCCAAATCCCTGAAACGTATCGGCGTCCTGGTAGCCCGACATGAGAAATGACCAGTCCATGTCGTCTTCCCCAGACGCCGAGCTGGAGGGCGCCATGGCGGGATGGGCGCCGCCAAACCCGGCAGTCTGGTCTACCGGTGGAGTCATCATGGCAGCGTTGTTGTCTGGCGAGTTGGACGACATCTCGCGAGTCCGCGGACGGGGAAAGGTCACGACCGGGGTTGTCTGCTCGCCGGGGTCTGGGCGGTTCTCCAAGCGTGCTTTCCGTCGGGTCTCGACACGTTCCTGGAGCTTGGATATAAAGTGCGGCATGGGGATCTCTTTTCCTGCCGCCCGCTGGGCCTCGTAATGCGCCGTCCAAGCCTTGACAAAGTGGCCACTAAAAGCCGTGTGCATGGGGCTGTGGAGATTGCTCAGAAGGCCTCTGAGCTCGTAATTCGACTCAATGGCCGCCCAGGCCCTCTCCACCAGCGGCCCCGAGCTGCGCTTGCGGAGCTCCTGGACCAGGAACATGTACGCCGGGAAGGGAAAGTAATGCATTGCGTACCACTTGTACGGCTGGAGGCTGGGAGAAGACTGAACCACGTTGTCGTATTCAAGCATCTCGACTGCTCCCAAGATGAGTGCGTCGCGCTCTACCTCCTTTAGCGGCATCGGGTCACTGTTGAGGCTGCGGACTAGAAAATTGATGATTCGCATCTTGCAGAGCGCCGCTCGCGTCATGGTCAGGGTAAAGAAGTGGAGAGGAATCTTGGGGTCGCAGTGAATCAGGTACGTGCCCTCGATATGAGCACAGAACCCCTCGAGAGTGTATGCGGGAGTATCTTGGCCAGCAAGACGAATCGTGACGGGGCTTGGCTTGCCGGGCTGGGAAGCGTCCGCCTTCTTTTCGGGGTTTATCTTGAAGCTGTCTCTGTTACTGTTACTTGCGACGGCCATGGAGAGCTCAACGCGCGTCAGAGCAAAAAGCATCTCTGTGGGCCCCGTGTGCGGTGTTGGGGGCTCTTTGCCGTCAACGTGCAGATCAGAGTCATTGACGTTTAAAGGTTTCTTGCAGTCGCAGCCGCTAGTCAGCGCAGTCACGGTCGAGCCCGTCATCTCCCCTACACGCCGATCGTAAGAGACGAGTGTCCACCATAAGCGCCGCCTCTGCTCAACTTCAAAGGGCGATAGGCCGTAGCCGTCGGGGTCGCGGTGAAGACCCATCCGCTGGGCGAGGCGAACGGCGATGCCCATCATGACGAATACCTGCCTCGGGTCTATATACCACCGAACGGCCATCTACAATGCGTGTTAGACATGAAACATTGGAAGACGAGCGAAAAACTTACCAAGTATAAAAGATATGCCTGCAGAGTCAATGGGTCGGGCATACGCATAAAGCCAGCATTGACCAGAGCCTGCTGAAGTGCCGGAAAAAACCTGGCCAACAGCTCCTGTTTCGTCTCACCAAAGGTTCTCTGGACCTCGCCATCCTCGAGAGAGTTGATGCAGATTACATAAATGGCAAACATGAGGGCCTCGATATTCTTTGGGGCCTCGTGAAGCCTGGACGTCGCCTCGATGACCTTGCTCTGTATGCTAGGCACATGGGTCATCTTCAATAGCGGATTGATGTTGTCAATGTAGATTTGCCAAAGCTGGAGTATGTGGATGGAGCTTGGGTGCATGTGGGAGACGGGGGCTGTGGAACCTCCAATGATGAATGGGAAGCCGTCCTGGTTGGCAAACATCTTGTCAAAGGCGGCATGGATAAAGGATTGGTTGGCGGCAAGGTTGGGGGCATAGTCCTCGTCATCGTCGGACGAGTCTTTGAGCAGCTGCTCGCTTGCTCTGAACTATAGTTGATCCGCAGTTAGCATCTCTCTCTCTCTCTATCTATATGAAAGCGATGACAATGTGTAAGTGAGTTGATACCTCTTTGTGAAGCGAAAACCATGTCCCGGGCTGGCGGAATCTGTAGCAGCACGTAGCTTGTGTCAGCGTCTCTACTTGGCCATGGTCTTGTCTCACTGCTTCATGAAAATGAATTCCGGCGTGGGGGATTGAAACAAACTTACGAGCCTGCACCGGTCGAGTTGAGAGCGTTGCCCGATGCTTCGGCAGACGTCTTGAGACTCTCAAAGTCGTTCTCCAGCTCGTCCACCTCGTCGCCGGCCATGCCATCCGCCCTATAGTCGGGGTCAATGGCATCAAACTTGACGCCATTCTGCGCCAAGAGCGTCTCGTACTTGCGCAGGCGCTCCAGCAGGTCCTTTTCCTGCAGGCGCTTCTTGCGGCGCCGTGGCGGCTGGGGCGGCACGACGCGACACTCGGCGCCGGCCTTGACGCAGTTGGAGCAGGGCTTGTTCTTGTCGCAGCGGACCTTGCGCTGCTGGCAGAGAACACAGCTGGTGCCTCGCGTGAGCTTCACGGCGGCCGGGTCAAACGCCGGCGGCTGAGGCCGGGCTGAAGAGGCAGAGGCAGAGGCGGCGTTCGGGCGCGGCTGCGGTGGCGGCGGGGCCGAGCCGGGGCCTGCTCTTGGGCCGCCTGCAAAGCTGGCAGACGCTTCAGACATTTCGTGCGCAGCAGACGATGGAGGCTCCGTCCTGTTGCGTTGGCAGCAGCGCTCACCGGATCATGCGAGGGCGAGTGCCGGGACGCAACGGTGGCAGAGACTGATTGGCCGCGGCTGACGGGCGCTGGGCCACGACCCTGCATGCGGCTGGCCAGATTCTCTCCTCAGGCGACGCAACTCCGGCCTTCAGCGCATCGGCCCGGGGGGGTCTGCGGCTGGCTATGGCCTGTAGGGCTGAGTCTCGGTTGCGAGCGACGATTCTCGGACCCGGGTCCAGGCTCTTTTTGTCCTTGGCTGCGAGGCGGTTTTTTTGGTTTGCAGACGCTGGTGGGAGATTTGCATTGGAGACGGAGGAGAAAGCGGGGGCGGCGCTTGGTTCAATGGAATTCTGCGCTGTCGGTTAGCGGTCTCGCGGCCAATCAGCGCTGGGCGACGGCTTAGTTCAGCAGGGGCTTCATACCAGAGCGGCGGCGCATGTAAAGCCCTTGTCATTGGCACGAGGCAAAGGTAGCATCAGGATGCAGACGTCCGCTTCTTTATTAACAGCTGCTACATGGGCAGTACTTTGGATGACTCATTGCGCATATCTGCGTTTGCAGGCTGGGCGGAATTGGTCCATCGGAGAGTTGCAAGCAGTCCACTTTAGGCATTCGATCAAAAGGTGAGTCCACTAAACAAACGCTCGGGCATATGGTGCCAAGGCAGATTCCCGAGACATAACAAACAGGTGCTGATAGGTATGCTGCCGTGTTAATAAGGTTGAAGTGGCATGATATGACCCTTGTCACTTGATTGTATGATTCATCCGTTCGTATGTGCAAACGCATTCGGATGACGTTGAGGCTGGGTAGTTGAAACGAAACGAAATGAAGTATACGACAAACACCACCAGCACCAATTTACTACTTCGTCAACAAAAGGCATATTCACCACGGCACTTCGCAAGCTATACGCGTAAGCCCAAACAATAGCCCGTACCAGGGTAGCTTTAGACCTGAGCCCTTCAAATTTCAAACCGAAGCTTTCAATATCCACACTTGACTCATTGTCAACGACTTACACGTACTCCAAACGCAACGGCCCCTATCCCAATCTCCTCCAGGTGGCTGCCTAGCCTCATGTCACGAGCATTGCTTGCATCCAGACCCGAGCCCAGCACAGCAAGCCAGCAAATACCGAAACCAGCAGCCAACAACCGCACAATCAGGCCAAACAATAGGAGCTCGGGCATCGTCTCGGGACCGAGCCCAGAGGCGCCACAGCCCAACGGGTACTAGCGCCTCAGCTACATGTCCGAGATCTCTGAGAGTTCTCGGCCGGTTGGGTCCCGGAGCTCGTGCTGCGTGTAAGTCAAGCACGGCAGCCCAGCTACGGTGCCGAAGCACAATGGCCGACTGAGAAATCTGTTTGTTCTCCCGTCATATTGACCAAAAAAAAAAAAAAAAAAATACTGCAGAATATGGCCGGAAAAGGATAGCGATGGCGTTTCGGAGCCGCGTAGCCAGCCGTTGGCATTCTTAACTCCTTTCCAGCCTCTCTTACTTATAAACGTTTTTTTTTTTTTTTTCATTCTCTGTAAGTCTGCATTCCAGAATTTGTTTTAGTTGGCCGTCATCGATCACGTCGTCAAAACTAAGACAGTTCCATCGGACTATTCAAAAACAGACCAACACCCCAATAGTACACCCAAACTGTGGTTGCTGTGTAACGCTTTGATACGAACACCAAAGACCTTTTTCACGATGCCTTTCGCCGATGAAAAGGCCACAACGGCAGAGACAACGTCTCCTACCGACCAACCTGGTTTCTTCACCACATCCTCATCCGAGAATGGGAAAAGCTTCGACGCCTACGTCCATGAGAAACCCGAATCAGCACCGGCAGCTTCACAGCTAGCAAACGAAGATGGCGATGCTCAGGCCGCAGCAGCAGCTCCTCAGGGCCCAGCTCCCGACAGCCCAGAGGCAAACTACAACCCCAAGTCTGCCAAGTTCTGGCTCATCCTGCTCTCTGCGTTTGTGTCCATGTTCCTCGTCGCCTTGGATCGAACCATCATCTCCACCGCTATTCCCACAATCACCGATGACTTCAAGAGCTTGGGCGACATAGGATGGTATGGCTCGGCTTATATGCTTTCGACGGCTGCGTTTCAGCTGGTTTGGGGACGCATCTATCGCTTTTACGATTTGCGTTTTACCTTTTTAACATGCATCATCATTTTTGAGATTGGTTCTGCGGTATGCGGTGCTGCGCCAAGTTCACCCGTTTTCATTGTTGGTAAGTGCACTCTCTCCTTTTCACAGGTTCACTCTTATATATAAATGTACAAACCACGGTGGTACATAACATGACATCTGACATCACACAGGACGAGCAATTGCGGGTGTAGGCTCTGCAGGAATCACCACAGGATCGATGCTGGTTACGATCCCCCTGATCCCCCTACCCAAGCGTCCCATGTTTCAAGGTATGTTCCCAACCCTTTCCAAGCAACTACTGCCCTCGAAAACAAAATCTCTAACATCTCCCAACCTACAGCCATGTTCGGCCTGGTCTTTGGCATCGCCAGTGTTTCCGGCCCCCTCATCGGCGGAGCCCTCACCGAGCGCGCAACATGGCGATGGTGCTTCTACCTCAACCTCCCCGTCGGCGCCGTCGCCTTCGTCTTCATGTTCCTCTTCCTGAGAATGCCCAAGAAGGCCCATCCACCTGCCACCATCAGCGAGCAGATTCTCCGCCTCGACCCCTTTGGCACCTTCTTCTTCATCCCGTCCATTGTGTCTCTCCTGCTTGCGCTGCAGTGGGGCGGCTCGACATATGCGTGGAGCAATTGGCGCATCATCCTCCTCTTTATCATGTTTGGGCTCTGTGGCATTGGATTTGCTGCAGTTCAGATTTTGATGCCCAAGACGGCTTCGCTGCCTCCCAAGGTTATTACGCAGAGAACCATGTTTTTCGGAACGTTCTTCATGTTGTTTACTGCAGGTGGAATGATGCTCTGCGTTTACTACATTCCCCTATGGTGTAAGTTGATCCATTTCATTCAATTCTTTCTTTGTCTCAACTTTTGATACTGATACAAATTCGCAGTCCAAACTACCCATGGCATTAATCCGGTCAAGTCTGGTATCTACACCCTTCCACTCGTTCTCAGTCTCGTGGTGGCATCCATCATGTCCGGCTTCCTCACACAGAAATCCGGATACTACTCCCCATCCCTCATCATCGGCCCATGCATCATGGCCGTCGGCGAAGGCCTCCTATCCACATTCAAGCCCGACACCCCATCCTCCCACTGGATCGCCTACCAGTTCCTCACCGGTTACGGCCTGGGATTCGGTTTCCAGACCGTCAACCTGGCCATCCAAACAGTGCTACCCAAGGAGGAAATCCCAACAGGCGTTGCCATCCTCTTCTTTGCGCAGCAGCTCGGCGGTGCCATCTTCGTTTCCGTCGGCCAGACGATCCTCAGCACCCTGCTCGTCTCACGCCTCTCGGACATCCCAGGCCTGGATCCCATGATGATTGTCAAGACTGGTGCGACGGAGCTCGCAAAGGTGGTTCCTTCGGAGTTTCTGTCCGCTGTGATTAATGCGTACAATTATGCCTGTACAAGAATCTTCCTTGCCGCGGTGGCGTTGACTTGCGCTTCGCTGTTGTGCGCGTTTGGTGTTGAGTTTAGAAGCATCAAGAAGCCCAATAAGGAGGAGACAAAGGCATAAACAAATGAAAGAAACGGCGTTTTGTAGTCGATTAAAGATGTTTGTCATTCAAAGGCGTTCCGGTGGCAAAGAAAACAAAAGTTGAACTCGATGCTAGATTTGAACTACCTAGCTAATGTATAATTTTAAATACTCTCGCTCTCTACTCTACATACTAGTAACTATCGTCTTCTTCCGTAGATATTCATATAGTGTTCTTTTAATATAAAAAAACTCATAAACTCATAACATGCTTTCACTTGAACAATTTATCTTTAAATGTTTTCAACTGCAGTGGTATGGTTCTTTCATTTTCTCTTTGTTTCTTTTTCCTTTCATTTGTCGAAAATATGCGAAACACTGAACATGCATCATCGCCCTTCACCTACCTTACGTCGTGTCCTATCCCGTCAAGGCTATTTTTACACGTCTCTTTGAACTCAAGTTAATGATAGTCGCAAGAATGTTTAACCCAATGTAAATATTTAACTGCCGAAATATCCAGCTTCTGAGAGCATAACCAGATCGTTACACTTCAAACAGCATCCACCACGTTCCATCCCAATCAATTCTTCTCGCCCTCTCCTCGTCCTATGTTCTTGTACTTCTCTTCTCCCTCCTATTCCAACCCCAACATCATCACCATGTGTGTCATCGACTCAACCACCTGCTCATGCTCTCACGTCGAGAACATCTACGCCGTTGAGTGCGGCACCGCAGGAAATAGATGCGCAAAGCAAATTAACCACAGCATATCCGGCTCAGCATGTCGAAAATGTTTGGCAAACGTCGCGACAGAAGAGCGTAGAATTGTAATTGCCGACTTTTACGATAACGTAAAGTTCTATCTGACAAATGCTCTCAAGATAACCGACAAGTTTGATCACGACGTGTTGGCGCCTCAGGTCCAGGAAATCGTCAAAACCATGGAGGAACAGAAGGCTTTCGCCCTGTTGGAGCTAGAGTTGAAGATTGCGTGTGAGGCTCAGAAGAAGAAGGAGTATCATGATGATCCATCTGTATGGTTTTAGGTAACGTTTGGCGTGTCGTCTTTCTATCGCCTGCATTTAGCGACTACATTCATTATGCGCGTTTATCATCTGCATCATCATTTGCCTTTATCTGCATCATCTTTTGCATTTATCGACTTGCATACATTATCCGCATTTCTCATCTGCATCTGGTTGTCTGTTTATTGTTGGTTGCGTCTTGTTGGTCTCATTGCCTTGATAGGAGTTTTGCTTAATGCCCAATTATCATTTGTGCTACACTTATAATTCCCACTCACCAGTAGGTATGACAATGTGTTGATGGATATTAGCAATGTACATGTAACTGTAGACTGCATCTAATATTGACTGCGTTTTCAGCCCTACAAACAAAACACTTCGACGTAAGACAGTGAATACCCTAAAGCTACCCTAGTCCACGGTGCGTTTCTCTCTCCTCCTCTCTCATCAGTAAAAGCTAGATATATATCACCGTTTGCGTAAATAATCATTATTCATCTTTTCATCTTTACACAGTGCTAATTCGTTCGCAGGGTAGCAATTTGGCCCAGCGCAGCCTCTTCACATCTTCCACTATCGCTATAGGCTCCTCAGGAACTCTACAAAGTACTATTTCTCAAGCGGATGCAGCCAGATAGGGTAAATGCATTGTGGGATATTTCGGAGCTTCAGCCACAGCATTTCTTGCAAATAAACCCAAGCGCCCTATATTTTTCGGTTTCTCGTGTCTGTAAGCTTTGCGACTACTGGTGTGAGATTACGGATGGCTTACTATAGCCAGATGATGTGAGAGTAAGACGAGATTACCTTTTCAACTTCAAGGTGGGGTGTAGATCTAGCCATCCGGTAGGTAGATAGACGAGTTAGTATTTGAATGTTTAGGAATTTGGCTGTTGTTTGTAGTAGGGCTTAATTCGACAATCGCTTCTTATAGTCTAAACCACCAGAGCTTTAGGCGCTATTACCACGATCTCACGACTCGATCTCACGAGTCACTCACCCAAAGATTTGCAAGTGCCGAGACTAAATTCGTCAGTTTTTTAGAGCATTTTTCTGCGATATCAAGTGGCAATCATCACCTTCGGAACCGCGGGAGGTAGCAAAAGGTAGGAGAGACTTTGAAAGCAACAGTAGTAACACTACATCAAGAGCAATAGAAAAGCCGGAAATAATGGACGACAAAGGCGTATCATAGGAAGTCAACACGGATATTAGCTCCTTGTCTCTAATCCTCCCACTCAATGCTACAGTATATTGAGGGCAGTTTGACCTGGCATTCGGTCATCCCACCGCACCGAGTCTATTACGCGTGTATCGGTCGTCGACCTGATTTGGCGATGTTATTCATTATATAGCTGCCGTCAAAGTGGCTTCTCATCGTTGGCACATATACTACTACTCAATACAAGCCTAGGTAGCCTGAGCTTGGTACTTAATAGCTCGGAAATAGCCAGCAACTTCGCCTCATGAGCATCCAGTGTAGCCCACGAAAGGGCTCCATGCTTTTGATTTTCATCCTAGCTGTTTTCTGTCTCATAATTAATGCTACCACATAAAGCTTAAATGACCTAGTTGGATTATTTTCCTGCTCATGAGTCGTTTCGCTTCGTCAACATCGGCGAGTGGCAATTAGTGAGTCGAAGATCTCGTCACCGTATCAAACGCGGCTATATACGAGCAGCATGCGAGCCACTGATCAGATCCAGTACAGCTTGTTACACGTCTCTATTATTATTTTTTCCTTGAATCGAGGCCTTTTGCACGTCGAATCCATAAAGACTTATCAGCGTAACTTGCTATATGATATATTCAGTGATGTAGCTGTAACTATGTAGTGGTGTATACAATCGCTGCGCAAATTCCAAAGCTGTTTCAAAGACTATGTAGTTATAACTCTCCTATTACCTATGCTCACTGGCTAATTGGCACTGGTCCTAAAATATCACGACCAGTAGATGGCCACCGGTGGTTTAGAAGAAAAAGATCCCTGCTCTATATAGATGAATTAAATAAAGAGTAGCAAAGCTAGTGAATTTGTGTCAAGCTGCATGTACTTACACTAAAGAATACATGCCCTACCTAGTGTTTTGTTGATATTGTGCTTGTATTCGGCTTTTAGCACGATTGACCACAATCTCTCTTGAAATTGAAAACTGCTGCGGCGGTGGTGAATCTGAGACTCAGCAATCGCCGTCACCTGGTAGGCGACTGCATTTATAATCTAGCTACAAGATTATCTGAACCATAATCGCCTTCAGTAAATCTAGCTTAGACAGTTTCAGCTGCTCCCTACGCCGAGAGGGCTGTTGTTATGGCGCTTGATGTATGCCTACCTCCTGTTCGTTTGCACTGACTCCACAGCCAACTGGCATATTATTTCAACTTATTCCAAACTTCTGGTACAAAAGTTTCCCCCCCCTCTTGCTTCCTCTTCCCTCTTTTTCCAATTATATAATTTCTCTAAAGGAAAAAAGGCCATCTACACATTGCAACTCTAGAGTTCCTCTACCAGCATAACACCGGAGTAGGGGCTATTCAGCATGGATGCAACACCCGACTCAAAGCTTGGCACTATTATTTCCAGTCTGCCTGTGAAACGAGTTGCACCCAAAGACGTGAATTTGCCCTGGCACCTGCTCGTTGCGCGCGACACTCTTGCGTACAGCAATGAAACCCAGCCATGCGCAAACGAAATGACAGAGGACAAGCAGCGCGTGCTCTGCGAGAAGGTCATGAGGATCGCCTTCTATATCGTCGGCGTGGACCCAAATGATTATCACGTCTGCCTAGAGGCCTGTATAGAGAAGGCCGTGAACACCAAGCTCCTGTCTACTACTGCATGGACCAGCTGGAGCGGACACAGAACCCTCAAGGCTAGAATGAAGCTTGCCCAGCAATATACCGACTCGACGAAACAAGTCCACTGCCCTCCGGCGCCGCTGATCATGGCCGCGGTAGCGCTCAAGTCGATCAGAAAAGTTGAAGGCACTGGAACTGACGAAACCACGATACTGATGGAGCAGTACAAAACTGTGGACATGGCACCAACCGCAATCCACAACTTTGTGGGCAACGAAGAACGTATCGTTCGCATCATGTTCAAACTTGCCCTACCCACGACTGAGCAAAGTCACAATATCACCGAGTCACTTCGCGAAGTGAGTATCGACGTGGACTCATTCCGATCCAGCAAACACTTTGAGCATGGCAGACGGAGCATTGTCGCCGCGGATAACACAATCGACGACAAGGAGACGCTGAAGGTGGAGGTTATCTGCGAAATGGCCAGAGATCAGGCAGAAGACGAGCTCAAAGACATACTCGACCTCCTCAGAAGCAAGGGAGACACCGCCGTAACGGAGATGATGGGAAATCTCATCAAGTTGCCTCACATGAAGGTGCTCTCTCCAGCAAACAAATTATCCGTCTTTAAATGGGCAAAAGCCATAAAGCACGACAGAGTCCTCGGAATGTTCGAAGTCTCGCTGGATGACCTGGACAAGTACACCTGGACAGAGACAATCGAGAAGCCCATCTCAACAACATGGTCCAACCACCCCGCATATACAATCTGGAACGAGACAAGGGACCTAGTCAGCAAGAAAAGCGACCCCAAGCGCATTCTGAAGAGGCTCGACATGCTGCGCGAGACGCTCGTGCGCGAAGCCTTTGAGAAGCAAGAAGAGAGTAACAAGGCGCTGCCGGACAATCAGACGCACGCAGAGCTGCTGCGCGACGAGATTGCAGCCATCAAGGAGAATCTTGAGAGCGTTCAGAGACAGAATGGGAGTCTCAAGAGACAGAACGATGAGGTCATTCAGTTGTTGAAGGACGAGAAGAGACTTAAGCCGACGTGCGTGTTTGAGGATCACCTGGAAGGTGCTTGTATTTGATGTATTCGGCGTTTCACTTTGGATTATTCTTTGTCCGTGGGGAAGATTGGTTATTGTGCGGTGAGAAGCACTTTGATGTGGTACCTTTTTAGGTATAAGCACATAATTGTCAATACTTTACAGCATTCATGCTGATAATGTTTTGTTTAGTTCAGTTTTAATGCGTAATAAAATGGCCTTTTAAGAACAATTCGCTATATTTATCGACATACCTAGTCCAAAGATTCTCAGTCCAATTGCTTATTCACATACACGCGCTTCTGTCTATATATAGGTCAACTTGCATGAACACCATTGAAAACATTGCACCGCGATCCAGAACGCAAAATATAACCATTTTGGTATAATAGATTCCATATTACAAATTATGTAAGTCCCTGCTCAAAACAGCAACTAAAAACTAATCAAATCCGTCATCTTTCATATCCTCGTATCTTCAAAAATAGGTAGGTAGTATCCACTACTATTGCCGACAACGTCCAGTCGTAAGCACTACTTTTCAAAGACAGTCTAATTAATGTTCTATGATAGGGGTATCATTTTCTTTTTTGCAACAATCCGGTGGGCTGTTCCTAGACAATTCCTAGACAATTCCAAGGCTCAGGTAGCCAGAAGCTGCAGACTTAAATGGCCATGAGCATAGCAAGCGCCAGTGCGCCAATCGACACAGACAAAGAAACACTGCCGTTATCCTTGCCGTCCTTGTCTGAGCCGCTGCCGCTGCTGCTACCGCTGCCACTGCCACCGCTACTACCACCCTTGCCGCCACTGCTGCTGTTGCCGCCACTGGTAGAGTTGGATGAGTCGTCGTCGTTGTCGGCGATATCACCACCAAAGGCTGTTCTGCCGGGCGAGACGCTCCTTGCCAAGGCAGAGGCTCGCTTCTTGAAGTCTGCAAGCGTCTGGTTCTTGCTGGGGTTGATGATTCCCACCATTCCACCGGAGCACTCGTTGCCCTGCGAGGAGTAGAAGGGAGTCGGGTCGGTTCCGTTTACCGTGACGCGGAAAACTTTGTCCTAATACCAAGTTAGTACGCAAGCAGGTGGAGATGAGAGATTGAAACATACTGCTTCGCCATCGGTGGTGTTGAAGGTGAATCCTGAGAAGAATCCGGTGCCCAATTGCATGGGAGTGCAAGGGAATGCGTAGAGACCCGAAACCACGCTGTGGTTCTTCGGCTCAAAGTGGAATTCGAGGATATCGCCATGGGATGCCGTAACGGTCGAGGGGTCGAAAGTGTTGGACGAAGTCGCCGTGATCTTGATCGTCTCTGCGCTGGCCAAGCATGCCACAGCGGCAGCCGACAGAAGGCTCTTGACAGAAGGCATTGTGTGTATGCAAGTGTATTCGATTGCAATTGTAAGGAGAAAAGTTGAGAACGATGCACGATGCACGACCGATGAAGAAAGATAAATAAACAAGAAAACAAGGAACAAAGAGCCGCTAGCTTGCTTCACAAAGGGGAACGGAACGCTAGTCAATGGGTCAGTGCTGGGATAGGGCCAGTATTTAAATACGAGCTGAAAATCACGGAGGATTCTCGTATTGCTACTTGTTTTTTTTTTTTCTCCTCGGGTTCATACAAGGTGCAGAGGGTAGCATGGCGCAGATCTTAGAAGCTGCCCAAGCAACCGCGCCAAAGCAGCGAGTAAGCAAGCGACAACAGCTCAAATCAGTCTGCGCCACGACGGAAAGGCCCCAATGCATCCATGCATGATGCGGTCATGCATTCTGCTACTAGTGGTACTAGTAGTATAATGCCGCTATGCTAGGGATAGCCTTGGTTGCATTTGGTCTAAAACAGTCGCCCAGGGGCTCACCGAAAAACATGTCAAGTCATTCAAGGCTACGCCGTATAAGTACGGTGGCATGAGGTGTTACACGCGCTCTTCGAACGATGTTAATTAATCATCACCTCATGCCAGACCCGATTATGCAGTATCTCCTCAAGAGAGAGAAGAAAAAAAGGAAACCGGGATACATTTCACCGAAACAAGGAGCTCGGACATGCCGCCGAGGTTGTTGGCTCATACAAAGTACAGAGCAACTGAGCCGTGTCTGGGCACTCGGCAGGGGGATCCATTTCACCGCGTCCAAATACGGAGTTGAGTAATGGAACCACGGCACGTTTCTTGGCACTTTTGCCTGTGCCTGCTTCTTCTCGTCTTGACCAGAGTCAGCACAGGCGAGTGAGCCGCGGCATAGCGCTGGTGAGTAGTTGAGTAGTTCGTCTGCCGCTGACAGAACGGGCCTTGTGATCAAATTGTATGTTGCCAAATATAGCAATTTTCTGTGCAAGTCGCCGCAATGATCTGAAGGATCAGATGCTAGGCTAGTAGCTGGCCGCTAGGGCCGCTTCGATCTTTGATGTGGCTGTGCGACTCCTTACCCTCGCAGCCTTGCCCGATGCTTACCTTAGCAAGCTTGGGCTGTTTTTGGGCATTGAGAAACAACAGGTTCGCCGCTCTGCTTGGACACATCATAATCGTACGATGGGCGGAGCGATGGCTGGCCTAGGAGAAGGGGAAAAGAGAGAAAAGGGGAAGCATAAAGGTCTAGGCAAGATCTTTATAGACTCCGGCCAAGTTGAGGCGACAGCCCTACGAGGGTAGTAGGTAGTACACGGAGAAATAACAAGTCTGGCCGCGTATCGGCCGCCTCTGCGCGGTGCCTAGTGGAACTCAGCCGAAGATTTGGGTCCGCTTCGCCTTGCCACCGGCACCGGCGCTCGCCGACGGGCTCTTGGTCGCCGAACTGGTCGCATCCAGGCGTTGTCCTGGGCTTGAGCGATGCACGTCTCCCGTGGTAGCACTCGGTAGCGTGTGGTTTGGAGCATCGGTAGATGCATCGTGCGCATGTGCGTCAAACGCCCTTTCCTGCCACTCGATCCGGACCCGTTAGTGTGGCTCTCGTAGGGCCATTCACGTGGATTGCACGCTCAACTTGGTAAAGATGCCTTTTAAGCTTTTGGATCCAGATCGGCTGCCGCCTAGAGTCGATTCGCCTCTCTGAGCCCTCCAGATCATATATAAGTTTTTGGCTTTTCCGACATCTTCAGCTCATACGTAATCAGCCTTCAGCCGCTAAAAAAGGGCGTCGCTTTGATTTCCGTTTTTGGCCAATTGCTCACTCTGGCAGCCCAGTTTGCGGCTCGTCTGTTCGTACTGTTTTCTGTATTGGTTGTCAGCCATTTCGCAGCCCAGGCTCTAGACAGCAAATCGCACAAAAAGTGTACTTGGTAAATACCACGAAGAAGACAAAGAGGAACTCTATTACGGCAGAGTTGGACGGCACACGTAGTTGAGGCGGCGGCTTAGACAATCATGAGATAGATGGGTGTGCAAACAAGAACGTTTTGTTCTCGGCAGCTGGTTGAAGCAAACACTCAGCAGCATCAGTAGTAGGTAGTAGGTAGATACCTAGTAACTTCACGACACGGCAGTCTTCCGAGCCAAGACCCGGAGCCAAGTGGGCTGAAAGTTTGGGGATGGCCTTATCCCCAGAAAGGCATTTGTACAATCACCAGTCTGTTGCGACACCTCGGTACGTTCTTCATACGTTAGGTAATACGGCTGTATGACGCGCCTCTGGGCTGGGACCCATAGATGCCGTGGCTCGCCAGAGAAATTGCGCTTCGCAAGAATCGCCAGATAACATCTGCATCGTCCATTGAGAAGGAGGAGAAAAATCCGCTGCCGCGTTTCACGACGAGATACCCTGGTGAGGCTAGAGGCGCTCGGAACCACACCCATGGCATGCGGTTGTGGTGGGAGATTGAGCTCAAGGTTGGGTCAGCGTCCCATCGTGGGGAGACGGCCGGGGTGAGCCGAGATGAAGAGTCAATCTACCTGGCACTCGTGAGTATATTATCTTGGTCTGAGAAGGCAGACGAAAAGAAATGAAGGGAGTGGAGGGGAGAGCAGCGAGGAGCTGAGCTGAGCTGAACAAACAGAAGACGTACCTAGATCGTGTGAGGTTGAAGATGAGAGACAAAGCAGAGAGAGGAGACGCATGGAGAGAGAGAGGCAAGCAAAAAACAACCTTTCTCCCCATCTGCCTCTCCTGCAAGAAATGCGCAACGGTTGGTTGATGTGATGAGCGACAGCCGGAGGAATGTGAGATGCAGGGCGCAAAACAGTTTCAACTAGCTGGGCCAACACACACTTTCTCAGCACAATCTTGCGCTACGGCCGATGCAAGCCTGAGGGTGGTGAAAGGGCTGAAAGGCGCATCCCGTATCGAGCATGGCAAGCCTCGTGACCCGGTGCAACGAGTTCCAGGCACGTCGAGGCGCTCGGCAGCGGTTGGGGGAGACGGGCAAGGTTCAATAGGTGAAAACCTACGGCAAGGTAGTGGCCGGGAGAGATACTCGGCCGGCGGTCGGCGTGCAGGTACCGGGTACACAGACCATGGGGCACTCCGTGCTTGGAGCCAGGTGCTGCGACTGAGGCAACGTGGAGTTGAGGGGCCTCCAGCACTCCAGCAGAGCTAACCGCGCCTTGTCCCCACCGGCGCTGCGACGTTGGCAGCACCTGGAGCAGTGGCAGCGGCCGGGCAGCAGTATCGAGTACCTGCCAACAGGCTTCGGGCCAGGCTGCGCTGCGCGGTATACCAGTTGGTACTGTAGTCGCATCGAGCCTGCCCTACCTGCGGTTTAATATTCGCAGCCGGGGGGTGCTCCTTCCTCGGAAACAGGCAAATCTAACTACTGATGAGTGGCGCTCTTTGGCTCCCCCTCTAATCTGCCAGGCCTCTCGCTGCTCTCTTTTCTCTCATACAACAAACGCCAGTTCATTTTACTGCACCCTGGACCATGTCGCCAAAACCACATGGCAAAACCGCCAAAACGACCGGGGGCTCCAGAGTAGATTTTGGGAATCTGCACTGTCTGTCGGAACGCACCCCGGCTCGCGCATGTACTTGGCAGGTATGAGGCCAGGCGCGGGTGCAGGCACGGATGCTGATACAGCGCAAATCTCAAAGGCCGGACCGCGGAACCTGCGAATCGAAGACGCTGCGCACGCCTCGGAGGGCTCCGTAGAGGTGGCCCAGACGTGCATGCAAGCGCGCGGGCACCAGCGAACGCAAAAGACAAAATCCCTCTGACGGCACGGCCTCTCCCTCACCTTCACAGCATGAGAGAGAAAAAAAAGATGGCGTCGCTAGGGCTAAGCAGCCTCTTGCCCCGCCATAACGGCGCTGGCGCACCACTTGTCAGTCCCAGCGTCCCGGTAGTGTGGCTCCAGCGGAAAAAGCAAGGGATTCTGTCTCATGATCGACCTTTGCTGCGCTGCGGCGCACGCTCCGTCATGCTGTCACACTCGAGAGCGTCCAAGATGTCCGCGTATGTACGGAGCTCTGCTGCCCGTCCTGTACTGTGCGCGTTAGAGGCGGCCCTGTCAATCTGTCCGAACGAACCGCAGCTACAGCTTCCGTCCGCCCCCCAGCGCGCGTTCTCCGCAGAGCAAGTACATGCTCTTGGTCTTGGATGCTGATATTACGCCGTATTTCGCATGCCCACGCATGCCTATTGCGAGCAGGGGAGGCTGGCAACGGCCACAGCAGCTTTGCCGGGCACATGGAACTTGGCAAGAATGCCAATCTACTTTAGAGCTTCTTACTGGCGGCCTTGCACGCACACACATGCTGTATAAAGACGCACCTTCACATATTAAATCCCGGGCTCGAGAGACCCGCCCAAAGCGCCCACAATCGGGCACTGGGTTGACGAGCCCGGGTGATCTTGCCAGCGCCTAGGCGACGTTTTCTCTCTCTTCCGGTGCTCACTTCTACTTGTGCCTGTAGCCCTATCGTGGCTGAATACTAATCTCCTTTGCCATTTACGCGTGGCTCGAGAGGCGTGGCTGCAAAACTCAACGACCTGGCGGCGATGATATAGCTACTCGCCGAGGTGGCTTGCACACGCTTCGCAGGCTTGGGCGGCTTCGTCGACCCGTGAGTGGCGCATCTCGCCCCAGCTCCCAAACCCATCCATGGATAACGAATAAACGTGGGCGGGCTAACTTAGTACGAAATCTTTGTGGAGGCTGGACCTCATTGCTTGCTTGCTATCTGGGGCCGTCTGGCGCCCACACATGCTGCTCTCTTCCTTAGCCTTAGCGCGCTTCCCTTGGTGTCCAACATGGCATCCATACGTTATTAGACCTAAACCTAGGGTAGGGAACTGAGAGCAGTTCTTGTATTGCAGACTTGCCAAGTACATCTACCGATCTCCCGCCTAATATAAGCTGCCTGGGTCCCTAAATTACCTTCTCATCCCTATATTGAGCCAGGGACTCTCGTGTGCGTGTGCGCCTGGGTCATGTCGTGTTTCCTTCTCTCATCCCCGCTTATTGCTGGATAGCTCTTCTTTTTCACCTTCAAGAGAGGGTGAGGAAAGAGACATAGAGAGAGAGAGAGAGAGAGAGCGTTGGTGTGAGAGAAAAAAAAAAAGAGAGAGAAGCAAATGCCCTCTGCTCGCCTTTCCTCCTCGGCCGCCAACTCTTGTCAGCTCTGCCTCGCGTCGTTGGGAGATACGAAATATCTTCGATCCATTTTCTCTTGGACGACTTAGAAGAAGGGGACCCGTTTCTTGCGTCTCTTTCTCTTGTCGCCGTCTAGGGCCGCGACTCTCTAGTGGATCTTGCTGACCTCTTTCAAATACCGTTTCTCTTATCACCTTTTGCTCCTCTTTTGGGCCCGTCCTCTGTTAACCTTGTATATTACCCAAAAACCCCCCCATACGGTCATGACTGTTGTGGCTGCTTTTGGCATATGGAAATCACCGTCTTGCTTGGCGAGACAGCTTCTTCAGACCATCCAGCATCGATTCCTTTGCTATATGCCACTGAAAAAAAAGCCCGCTGTCAGCACTGCATATCACTTGCGCCAACCACCGCGCTGCGTCTCCCCTTGCGCCCTGCACCTTCAGCAACCTTCTTCCGGAGTCGAGCGATAGGTCGCTATTTATGCGGCCAAATCACACCGGGCCCTAAATGTCAACTCCTGCAGTAAGTGGTTCCTCCCGTGTATCATCTTTACCCCATTCCCCTCCCGCAGTTGGAGAACAGTGTCCGACTTACGCCTTCTCCTCTTTCCTCTCCGGCAGCAAAAAGCCAACCTCGCTCGCATCCGAGACAACCAGAGAAGATCTCGAGCTCGGAGGAGGGAGTACATCGCCGAGCTTGAGCAACGACTTAGAAACTTTGAGCTCGAGGGGGTTTCTGCGAGTTCCGAGGTCCAACTTGCAGCCAGGCGTGTGGCCGAAGAGAACAGACAGCTCCGAGAGCTTCTTCACAAGCACGGCTTCCAAGACGAATACATTACTCAGTTCCTTTTGCAGCAGGGCGGATCGGCGGACCCCAGTTCAGGACACCGGTTCAGCACTGGTGATCATGTTCAGGCGCTTCAACAGGTCATTACTCCTCGAAGGCCCGTATCGTTGGACTCTGGAGTTCCCTTTCCACTGCCTAGCCAGGTGACTAGGGAAATGCCAACGGCGAGTCTATCGACGCCCAGCGCAGCGTCCTGGGATCCTCAGCAGGTAGCAATGTCGTCGTTTGGGCATCCCCAGGTAGTGACGCCTGTATCGCATCCTTACGCCTCGCCAGCATTCACGGAAGGGCCCGCGGCATCTCTGAGGCAATCTTCCTTCCAAGCTCTCAATCCTCCAAGCTCGCTGCTTGGCGACGTCTCTCAACATGGCGGGACGACTCCAGCAGGCGGAGATAACACTGCAGGCATGAGCTACCTTTCCATAAATCCTTATCACAATCCTTCAGGCCGCGACTTTCCTCCTCAGCCTCCTCCTCCACCACCGCCTCCCCAGGGACCCGACTATTATTGACGTGATTAACACACATACACACACACACCTACACACACACCCAAAAAATATGAGCTACACACGAACGATTTATCAAAGATTTAACGGTCAAGTTTACGAGACGATTCAAAGTTCTCCGACGATTGCAGAAAACTTTGCATATTCGATCGGTCGAGAGATTTTCTATTGGAATTGGTACTCACATGAGACACTTTGTAACGAGGTTGCCGGATGTGTCGGGCGGGCAGCTTATACCTCCCTGGTCACGATACGCGCCATATCGCGTAATCGCAAGAGACAATCCCAGGCCAACGACCGGGAATTTTAAGCGGCTAATGCGAGATACACTGCCTCCTCGGTAGGCGCAGCATCATTACAGTGTTGACAGTTTAGTATCAACGACACGTCCAACACTTTACAGGACGAAAACTACAATCTCTAAATTAAATCTCAACGCAGAATGACGACCGATTCATGGATCCCTACAAGATGCTACACGTCCTCTACGATCTTGCTTGGCATCAAGGTTAATAGATGAATACTTGGCTCGCGATTCCAAAATCGGATTGATAAATACAATGGAACCATCTCGTTTCTAATACGTTTCCCCCATTCATTTTTTTTTGGCAAAGGGAAAGTCAAAACGTATTATCGGATCAGAAGCAAAGCTGTGAGAGTTGTTTGGCGTCGGTAGCTGCTGAACAGAGCGGACGATGGATGAAGAGAAATACTGTATTGAAATTTTACTCGTTTGCTTGTAACCTAGACGGACAGGTTCTGTATCTGCGCGATGTGTACCTCTGGATAGGGCACAAGAGTTGATATACCCAGGGCGACTGAGCTTGTATGAGAGAAGATGGATGGAATTTGCTCCTCGCGTGAAGCTACCGATTGACAGCTTAGCGTGCCCGTATTGATGACGGTGAAAATAGATTAGCTGACTAAATCGCTATATGAAGATTAGTAACTTGTATGATTACATGGTGGAGAAGATGGGAAGGGAGCTATCTCTACCTGGGAGTAAGAGTATGCTGACGGTGATCCTGTTGGCTGGCGTTTAGGCTCTATTTAGAGTTTCTGTAAAGTAGAGTGTACTCGGTCCTATTGGGCCCTACCATTACATGGTATTACTATACCCTGGGGAGGATCGGAGCAAAAACCATGCCATCTTGTTTGGCTGCTTGAGATGGTGATGTTGTCAATTTGCAGTCGTTCGCGTCACGCGTTTGATTTTGCTGCTGTTAGCGAGTTGCCCGTTCCAAAGCAACGTGTAAGATGAGATTCCTTAGGCGAAGCTTAAGAACAGAATATCGATACTGAAAGCTTGAACATCGTGCCCGATAATTCTGCTATTTGAAAGCGAATTATCCAATTCTTGGAGATGCTCTATGGTACGGTACCTATTGCTATTTTGTATCCCACTTATACAAGCAGCAAATCCACCTGCCAGGGCAGTGATTAAACTGGTTTGGCCAGCTTGTGGCGCTTGAGAAAGAGGAGAGAAAAAAAAAAAAACCTATAAAGATACAATTTTCAGCCCAAAATAGGGGCGCAAGCTTAAACTGGAACTTAATGAAAAGCACTTCCTCTCCATCTTAGCAGCTGCCCAGCAATATAAATGCAAAAAGCTCCCTTTCTCTCTAGATTTGGCTTCAGTTACACAAGCAACGTCACCGCGCACCGGAACCAGCGCCTAAACAGCGGCTAATTACCCATTTCGTCTTGTCGAAAAAATCAGCCCATTGCTTGTGTAACCCGCCGGCCGCTCTCCGAAATCTGCTCGGTAGTTCGGAATTGACCCGCACATGGCCGTCATGCCGTCTGAGCCGCACCGCCACCAAAACTTGCTACATCATAACATTTGTTTGGACCCTGAGCTTATAATATTGGCCCCCCGAAGCGCAGACGGGCCTCTTTCTTGCTCTCCCTCTCCCAATCTCTTCCTCTTTTTTTGCCTGGGATAAAAAGATCAGCGTGCCGCGAAATCTAACAACATGCGAGGCGGTGCCGTGGCCAGCAGGCCGTTGAGCCGATTAAGATCCTCGGCTTCTTGTGCCTGGAGCCGGCAGTTTTCCAGGTCGTTTCGGGTGCAGTCGGCTCAACGGGTGGCTGTGCGAGCTGCAGGATTGAGGGCGACACAGACGACGACGATATGGCGACCGTTCCCTGCGACGACGAGGGCTTTGGCGACCGTTTCGGACCGTGCGATAGGCGGCTTGGGGCCGTTGGAGGAGTACGACCGGCGGGTGGATGCTGGAATTTTGCGCAACGACGAGCATCAAAGAGGTGAGTCTGATATGAAGCGATATCTGGTGACCACGGTTGACTGACTGGCGCACGCATAGGCATCATCGAGAGCTTGCAGCACCTTCACAATGAGCTCCGCAACTATCACGCGCCACCCGTCGTCCATCCGAGCCTCGATCTCCTGAAGCCGGCGAAGAAATCCGTCTTCTCATCACTCTTTGGTAATGGAGGCGGCGCAAAAGCAGCGATCAAGGACATTCCCGAGAATCTACCCCGAGGACTATACCTGTTTGGCGATGTGGGCAGCGGCAAGACAATGCTCATGGATCTATTCTACGATACCCTCCCACCTTCGGTGAAGACCAAGACGAGGATACACTTTCACAACTTCATGCAGGACGTTCACAAGAGGCTACATAAGATGAAGATTCAGCACGGAAGCGATGTTGATGCTGTGCCATTTGTTGCGGCGGATATTGCAGAGCAGGGCAACGTGCTTTGTTTTGACGAGTTTCAGTGTACTGACGTGGCGGATGCTATGATTCTGCGGAGGTAAGTGTTTCTTTGTCTGGATTATGCTAGTGATATAAGTTTGTAATATCAAGGCTAATTGGGCATTAAGGCTGCTAGAATGCCTCATGTCTCATGGCGTGGTCCTGGTGACGACTTCGAACCGCCACCCAGACGACCTATATAAAAACGGAATCCAGCGAGAATCATTCATCCCAGCAATCAAGCTCCTCAAGAACCGCCTCCACGTCATCAACCTCGACTCACCCACAGACTACCGCAAGATCCCCCGACCACCCTCAGGCGTCTACCACACCGCCCTCGACCAGCACGCAGAGTCCCACGCCGAGAAATGGTTCCGCTTCCTGGGCGACTCGGAGAACTTTGCGCCGCGGTCCGAGACGCAGAGAGTCTGGGGACGAGACATATTTGTGCCGCGCGTCAGCGGGAGGTGCGCGTGGTTCACGTTTGACGAGCTTATCAAGAAGCCAAAGTCGGCGGCCGACTACCTCGAGCTGGTGCGCAAGTACGATGCCTTCATCGTGACGGAGGTACCCGGCATGACGATTCGCGAAAGAGATCTCGCGCGTCGCTTTATTACCTTTATCGATGCTGTTTACGAGGGCAATGCCAAACTCGTCCTTACGACGGAGAAGCCGCTTGGAGAACTCTTCGTTTCGCGCGATGAGATTGCGGAGACGCTGCTCCAGACGAATCCGTCTGCTGCTAAACCCTCCAAGGACGCTACACAGAGCGTGATGGAGAATCTGTCAGAGAATGTCGACAAATTGAAAAACTCCAACCTCTTTGCTGGTGAGGAAGAGGCCTTTGCTTTTGCTAGAGCGTTGAGTCGTCTGAGTCACATGGAGAGTAAAGAATGGGTTGAGAAGGGACTTGGATTGGAGAATAAGGGTGGTAAAGAGGATAAGGATAGCTGGACGAAGACGAGGAGTCGACAGATGGAGGACTCTATGTGATTGTGACCGAAGAAGGAAAGAAAAGAAAAGAAGGAAGAGATGGTTTACGAATATGAGAGATGGTACTTGTATAATTTGCTGCTTTGTTTTTTTCCTATACCCAGAGCGTTTTCTTTTGCCTAGATGTCTTTTTTTGGACTAGATATACGGGGGTGGCAGAACGTGAATTCGTTCAGGGCGGGTTTCTTTATACACGTATGTACATTATGCGCACCAAGATATCTATAGATACAGTAGAAAGAGAAAAGAGAGAGAGAATGTAAGAATTTACGATGATTTACAGCGTGTGTATATCACATTTAACGTGGTGATGGTTTAAGCCATCTGCGAGTATTGACGAAGCCCCCTTTTGGGGTTTGTCTGCCATCCTTTTTGAAGAATAAAGACTTCGTTTGGAAAGCAATAGTTTGTGACGCTCCTTTTCCCTACTAGCTGAGGTGGCGGATAAATGGTCCATGGCTGAGTACGAGGCCAGCTCCCCCCTTGTGTTGTAGCGTTTTTGACGGCCTTGGATCGTCTTTATTATTTTCTTCATAGTAATAAAAACGGTCTTGACCGCAGCGGAATATTGATACATTCAGTAGATGGGTGTGCTATCCGCGAACGAGAGAAGGCCATCACACCATGACTGAGTCTAAGATACGAGTACTTGCGGGCGAGGAGCATAATAGCTGATTTCCCATGCCCCGAGATAGCTAAGAATTAACAAGTTTCTCTTTTTTAGGGGGAGCTTTGACACTCAATTGGAGAGGGAGGGAGCCCGGCACAAGAAATTGTTTTGTTCCTTCACATAATTGAAACGAAGAGGCTTTCGCAGCTGATTGGAACCCTGCTAGCACTTTGTCGTCACACAAACAACAAGCAAGCCGGCGTAAGCTTTCGGGGCCGGCCCTCTCCGCGATTCGAGCACGGTGGACTACATGAGCAAACTTTGGGATCCTTGGGATTGCACGGTCCCTCTACGGTCGTTCGATCTGCCCCGCTGACTAAGAGGCTGCAGAAACAGAACCCATGATAAACGAGATTGATGGGAGGTTCATGGATGCTGTGACACCTGTAATTGCTATACAGAAGAGAGGATCTTATCGGCTGTAGCACTAGATTTCTAGCCGCCGCAGTGAGGAGGAAAAGCCCACTTTGGGCATCGCGTGGAATCCAGCCCAAGATTCTTAGAGCTTCTTCTCTCATCGCGGAGAGTTCCTCTTTTCTGGAAGAGACGGCCCGGAAGAAGCCCTTTTTCTTAGTATTTTATTTTTAAAATCTGGCTCTGAATGCGACGCTGCTTGT